TAGAGAACATAATATTATATTAACTGATATGGAGAAAATCAAAATTCGCTTGTGGCATGTACAAGTGAAGGATGTATTGATTTAGTTTTACGTAAAGATTTGATTCTGTAGTACGAATGTTTTGGAGTGCTAACCATATTTCGCTTAAATCTGTTGTGTCAATTTGGTATCAGATTATATTCCTAATAGAGACGGGCATTGTTCGTGAAATCTAAATTGCATGCAATAATGTCTAAAAATGATAGAGTCAGAACAACGGATATTGATGGAACATTTGCATCGACAAATGGAGCTTTCAAGCAATGATTTCAATCAAGATGGTATGGCTGTCATTGAGTCTAGAGACAACAATTGATGAGTTGGTGGAAGAAGAATTTCGAAGGTGACACTAGCATTTTCGCTCTCTTCAATCCCAATTTGTAGGATATTGATTTAGACGAGGATAAGAATACATTGAGGAAAATACAATGATTGTAGATTTTGGTTTATGGTGCCCGAACAATTTGATGACTTAGAGGTAGAAGTGATTATTGTTGGTGTTCGAATTGGTTTAAAAAAATCAAAAATTTGGTTAAGTATAATTTTGAACAAGTGACTCGGTGTCAACTTTGAGCAAATATTTGGACATGATCTAATGTTCAAATTACAAATGTAAATAAACCAACTTATTCTACTCGTCGAGTAAATCGTCGTAGTATATTTGGAATCTCAAAATCAATTTCGGACGAATGAGAAATTGCGGTTCAAAGTTGGATAGAAAATAGGATACACGAGCGAGAAGTCAGTGACATTCTAACGACAACAAGAATTGCTTCTGTTCGTAAGGTTGCGAGGTTTGGCTCACAACACTTCTTCCACAACCCTTTACACTCTATAAATAGGACCCTTGGGACTTCATTTTCTTCACACCAATAATATGCAATCAAAGCATAACATTCTCTTCTCTCTCTCAACCAAGTTTTGCATTATATATATACACAAAGTTTTCAATACTTGCCTCGACTTTGCATCCATTTGGCTTTATTCATTTGAAGTTTCATTGTTGTCACTTGGCCGAAATTCTAGTAGAAGTTTGATAAAGATTCTACGGGCATTTGTTTGTCACTCCATACACCATCTCCATCCAACAATCTTAAGTCGAATTTTGTGGTTGTTGGAGTGACCCTGTTGCTTCGGTTATACTATTATTTGGTTTAATTTTTTCTACTCTCCTTTTGATTTGATTGATCTTCTGTTTTTCGTAAACATAAATGAATCTGATTTTTAATACCGACTCTACTTCGAACGACACTTCGAATATTGAAATTTCAGAAGGAATAGTTCATACTGGTACAATCCCTCCAATTGTTACTGCCCCTCTAAACTCCATTCCATATGGAGAGAAATCGAAAAAATTCATAGGGGCTGATTTCAAGAGATGACAACATATCTCACGATCCTCAATTTGACAAAGTTCTTATATGAAGATGCTCACATTATACAAGAAGGGGAAAACAATAGAGCATCACTAATGCTTTGGATGCTTGTAAACATTAGATTTCTCGTGCAAGAATTATAATCTGAATGACTTGAACAACTCTTTATATAACGTATACAGTTCCAAGAAATTTGCAAAGGAACTATGAGAGTTTTTGGAAAAGAAATACAAGACTGAAAACGCTGGAACGAAAAAGTTCATCGTAGGAAAGTTCTTGGACTACAAAATAAATTTTAATTCCCTTTTCAAACAAACTGAAAGATATTTCTTTATATAGAAAAGACAGGGATACAAGTTATTTCTCAACAGAAATTTATTTTATATTTATTTGAAAACCTTACAGTATTCACACTCTATTCAAGCCAAGTTGAGTCTTCCAAAGAAGAACTCAGATTATTTGTTGTAATTATTTTTAGTTATTTTATAACAGTGAAATGCTTCTTCAAGGGCAAAAGACCACTCTATAATTGGTTCCTCCTGGACAAGTAAATGTGCTGGCATGATTATCTTTAGGGTAACTATATGCATCGCGGCACCTATCCTTAAAGAACCTAGAATAGTTTGTCTCTGAACAGCTCCCAAAGTTGCAACAGTATTGGTCGCTCTTGAACACCGTGCATGCGTTGTTGCAGCCACCAGGCGCCCTCAACTCATTTGGGCATTGACCATTGATGTCGGCGGTGCAGTGGATTCCTCGGTTGCACCAGCCGGAGGTGGGACTAAATTCCATTGGCACGTTGAACCCTTCAACAAGAGATATATCAAAGAAGTCTAGGTTATTGCTCTGGTTGAGGGAGTATTCAGCTAGGGTGTTAGGTGGTGCACCATAGTCTTGACACTGATATAGTCCATTGCAGTCCCCTGTTTGACAACGACCATGACCTGACCTGTCGAAGCTGCAACCTGTTCGAGCCCAAATTCGAGCAGCTGTAGTGCCTGCAGCAACGTCGATTCTCCAAGTTTGGCCACTGCGAAGTTGTCTGCCACCACCGGGTACTCCAGCAGCCCAGACTGTAAACGGACAATGGTTACGGATATTGAATGTGGCTGCATTGGTGCAGTGGAAGAACAGAGCATAAAGAGAGAGAACGAAAATGGAAATGGAGATTGATATGAAGGAGTCCATATTTATTTTGTTTCAAAAGTTCTTCCCTAATTAATTTGTGCTCCCATTAAACTTACTTCCTGACTCCGCCACTATTATATATTTTATAATTTTCTAATGATACTATTCCAAAATGGTGGAAGCCTTTGTCAAGAAATTCCTATTTCCTTTCCACAACATAGGAATATTAATTATATTTTTAATTGCCGACATATAAAGGTTAGCACTAAATGAATGCGCATGGTATTATTTTTAAGGGATTTAATATAAAATATCTGAAAAGAAGAAAAATTGTAAATGAATATCGATGTGTGATAATGATCTTAAAGAATATTTCACAATACGCATGTTATATACATTGTTTACATGGTTATCGAGTCTACTGCAACATTTATGCTTAGAAAATCCAAATTTAAGAGTTATATTGAGATTTAAGACTAACATATTTATTTTTTAATTTATTTAAAAAGCCATTATTTTATGTCGCTAGGAAATTGTGGTTTGAAACTAAAAAATGTACAAAAAAAAAAAGTTTGATTTGATTTGAAATTTTTCTAAATCGTTTTAAATTTTTGATTTGATTATAGTCCAAAAACCTTTAAAACCGATCGATATTCACTTCTATGTAGGATGCTTTGTATGCTTATGTGGCTCGTATACCTACTCAAATAACTACATATGTATAGCAAATGAGTTAATTAATGAGGTAAGGAATTTTAAGTGCCCATCTTCTAGGTATTAATGATGGATCTTTACACTACATATTTTTATTTGTTACACTACGTTTTAATTATATTAAACGTCTCATGCTTTTCATTGTCGCACACATGTTCCTTTTTTATTGTTTTTTCTATACAGTCTTACATTAATTAGCAAATTTTGCTCATGATGACAATTTCCATATTCAGAGGGCATAAAAAGGCTT